TAAGTGGCTATCCAACTTTTCCCTTTTCTGGAAGAAAGGGAAGAGTGGCTGGAATGTCTTTGACTTTGTTGTTACCATGTTGGTAAGGATAGAGATCCTGAGGGTTCCTTTAGTGGGATGAAGAATGTGCCTAGGTGAATCAAAAGGACAAGAAAAGTTAACATAATAATAGAAAGAAACAAAAATTTACTTCCTTCTTTTGATTTTTTTTCCCTAAAACTAAACATCAGTCATTGCAGGAGTTGTTGGTATTGGGAGCAAGGTAGATCACAACGTCAACGCCAACATGAACATCTGCCTGTTACTGAGCACTTATTAAGTGCCAGGCACTATTTTAAGTGTTTTCCTTACATTTCCTCATTTATGCTCCACGACAACCCAATTAAATAACCATGAATTTATCCCCCTTTTTATGTCTGAACAAGTTGAAGTACAGTGTTTAAGCAATTTAGTATAAAAAGGCTGAATAGGAAACAATTCTCAGAGAATTCTGTTCAAGGGATAATGCCCAGGGAACAATGAAGAGGATGAGATGAAGAAGGTGCAACTGTGCCTGCGTGCCTTGGGGTGTGTTTTACTCATAATCTGTGTGTTTTCCACAGTCCCTGCTTCCCGAGGTTGTGGTATTGGTAGGGGTAACAGGTCAGTCGGTGTGGCTTCAGCTTCTGAGGATCTGCCGGGTGCTGAGGTCTCTCAAACTCCTTGCACAATTCCGTCAAATTCGAGTTATTATTTTGGTTCTGGTCAGGACCCTCAAGGTGATTTGACTGTTGCAAGCTAAAGCAGGGGGCAAGGTAGACAAATATGAGGACTTAACACAGAATATGAAACAAATCGGCCAGGCACAGTGGCTCACGCCTGTAATCCCAGCATTTTGGGAGGCCGAGGGGGACAGATCATGAGGTCAGGAGTTCAAGACCAGCCTGACCAAAGTGGTGAAACCTGGTCTCTACTAAAAATACAAAAAAAAAAAAATTAGCCAGGTGTGGTGCTGTGTGCCTGTAATCCCAGCTACTCAGGAGGCTGAGGCAGGAGAATTGCTTGACCCTGGGAGGCAGAGGTTGCAGTGAGTGGGGACTGCACCACTGCACTCTAGCCTAGGCGACAGAGTGAGACTCCGTCTAAAAAAAAAAAAAGAATATGAAACAAATCTTGGTGGGTCAAAGAAGGCAATGAAACATCCTGTGATATGTTACTGGATGAGAAGGGGCTGGGGACAGGTGCCATGGTTCAGAGATGACTGGGTTCAGGATTGCAAGGGAGGGTTTGGTGGGGGATTGCCAGGTGGCCTTGACTGGGCTGTTGGTGGAGATTAGCCTAGTTTGGCCCACGTCTGACTTGACGTTGTGGCCTCTAGAGCATGACCTTCCTCTTGATGTTGCTGCTTATCTTCGTCTACATTTTTGTTGTGACTGGTGTCTACCTCTTCCCAGAGTATACCCCTTCACCTCGTCAGGACCTGGAGTACCATGTGTTCTTCTTGTAAGCAGAGCTGGCGAACAGCTGGGTGAGGGGAAAAAATTTGGCTAAGAGACCAGGAAGCTTGTCCAAAGTATAGTAATATAAAAAGTACAGTCTATTCCAAGAAACTGAAATAGAACACAATAGGGAGAGGGAAAGAGAAAGCAAAAGAATAGTGAGTGGTTTTAGCTCTGATCTTGAGAGTAGGGCAGCTAGTTCCATGTTTATTCTGGGTTTTGCAAATTCAAACCACACTGTCATCAGGCATCTTTTTTGTTTTTGTTTTTGTTTTTGTTTTTTTTGAGACGGAGTCTCGCTCTGTTGCCCCAGGCTGGAGTGCAGTGGCCGGATCTCGGCTCACTGCAAGCTCTGCCTCCCGGGTTCATGCTATTCTCCTGCCTCAGCCTCCCGAGTAGCTGGGACTACAGGCGCCCACCTATTTTTTAGTAGAGACGGGGTTTCACCGTGTTAGCCAGGATGGTCTTGATCTCCTGACCTCGTGATCCGCCCGTCTCGGCCTCCCAAAGTGCTGGGATTACAGGCTTGAGCCACCGCGCCCGGCCAGGCATCTTTAAATAGCAGTACACTCCAGTGGTTAAGCTTGGTTTCTGTGACTCAGTTACCTCTTTTGAAAAATGGGGGCCAGGCATGGTGTCTCACGCCTGTAATCCCAGCACTTTGAGAAGCCAAGGCGGGTGGATCACCTGAGGTCAGGAGCTCAAGATCAGCCTGACCAACATGGTGAAACCCTGTCTCTACTAAAAATACAAAAATTAGCCAGGTGTGGTGGTGGGCACCTGTAATCTCAGCTATTCGGGAGGCTGAGACAGGAGAATTGCTTGAATATGGGAGGCGGAGGTTGCATTGAGCCGAGATTGAGCCAATGCACTCCATCCTGGGCTACAAAGAGTGAAATTCTGTTTCAAAAAAAAAGAAAAGGCGGTGGGGGAGAATAATAGCAGTGCTATTTCATAAGAGTGTGGGGATAAATGTGGTAATGCATTTAAGCCCTTAGCACAGTATGTAACACATTATAAGTGATCAATGAATGTTACTGTGATTCCCAAATATGATCGCTGGTTTTATCCCAATCTCTACATATTACACGTGCACGTGCCTATTGCTGGTCTCTGTCTAGAAAACACTAATCAATGCTCACTTTGGCAGCGGATGTACTAAAATTGGAACGATATAGAGAATATTAGCATGGCCCTTCTGCAAGGATGACACACAAATTTATGAAATGTTACATATTTTTTAAATATTAGCAAAACCCGACTAATCTGTTTTCTAGAAGAAAATCAACTTGAATTTAGAGTAGATAATCCTGTTTATGAATTAGAATTCAATCTTGTCAACTCTCAGGACTCTGTTAGACTCTAACAGATAGTTTTGTAAGAGTATTGAGTTAGGAAAATCCTAGAATTTATCCTATACAAGCTCTGATGTTTTCAATAAATTGTGTATGGGGGACTAGAAGGAAAGGAAGTAAAATTTAGGTACCTTCCTGGAAACGTTTTACTTTTTTAGCAATTTTTAACTATTATTAATTTTATAATCTGTATATTTCGTTATTTAGGATCACATATATTTATGTAACATGCCCATTTACCTGCATATCATTTCATACCAGCAAACTAATAGGAATAATTTTGTGAATTATCTTCTATTTTGCTAAATTTGCTAATTTTGCTAAATTTTGCTAAATTTGCGAGTGATCTTCTATTAAGTGGAGTCCATAGAGCAGTGGAGAATAAAATTAGAAAAAACGGCCAGGCATGGTGGCTCACACCTGTAATCCCAGCACTTTGGGAGGCCGAGGCAGGCAGACAGATCACTTGAGGTCAGGAGTTCAAGACCAGCCTGGCCAACGTGGTGAAACCCTGTCTCTACTAAAAATACGAAAATTAGCTGGGCATGGTGGCACATGCCTGTAATCCTGACTACTTGGGAGGCTGAGGCGAGAGAATCACTTGAGCCTGGGGGTCAGAGGTTGAAGTGAGCTGAGATTGCGCCTCTGTCTGAAAAAAAAAAAAAAAGAAAGAAAAAACTATCTAGTTGGTGATTCATTCATCTTTGAAAATTCAGTCAATACCTATTTATTGAGTATTTGTTATACCCCAGGACTAATGGAATAGTGAGAGGTAGTCATAGATTATTCATGATAAAGGAGAATTTAGGCTGGGTGTGGTGGCTCACGCCTATAATCCTAGCATTTTGGGAGGCTGAGACTGGCAGATCACCTTAGGTCAGGAGTTCAAGACCAGCCTGGCCAACATAACAAAACTCCATCTCTACTAAAACTACACAAATTAGCTGGGCATGGTGGTGCTTGCCTGTAATTCCAGCTACTTGGGGGACTGAGACAGAAGAATTTCTTGAACCCAGCAAGTAGAGGTTGCAGTGAGCTGAGATCGCGCCACTGCACTCCAGCCTGGACAACAGAGCGAGACTCCGTCTCAAAATAAATAAATAGGCTGGGCGCTGTGGCTCAAGCCTAAATCCCAGCACTTTGGGAGGCCGAGACGGGCGGATCACAAGGTCAGGAGATCGAGACCATCCTGGCTAACATGGTGAAACCCCGTCTCTACTAAAAAATACAAAAAACTAGCCGGGCGAGGTGGTGGGCACCTGTAGTCCCAGCTACTCGGGAGGCTGAGGCAGGAGAATGCCGTGAACCCGGGAAGTGGAGCTTGCAGCGAGCTGAGATCCGGCCACTGCACTCCAGTCTGGGCGACAGAGCGAGAATCCATCTCAAAAAAAAAAATAAAAAATAAATAAATAAATAAATAAAATAAAACAACTTCAAACCAAAGAGTGATTAGCTAAAAACTGAGTATGGTACAAAAGGAACCAAAATCAGAACAAACTGTAAAGAAATGCGTTATGTTTCTTTAAAAGTAAGAATGGTACCATTTTTGAAAGGTTTAGGTCTCTGTTTCTGTCTATTCACATGCCTTTTTCTTTAGGGACCTCCCGAATTCCCTGGTAACAGTGTTCATTCTCTTCACCTTGGATCATTGGTATGCACTGCTTCAGGATGTCTGGAAGGTGCGTGAAGTCAGTCACATCTTCAGCAGCATCTATTTCATCCTTTGGTTGTTGCTTGGCTCCGTTATCTTTCAGAGTATCATAGTAGCCATGATGGGTAAGCATAGAGGAGGTGAAACTTGTTTGGGAAGGGTGGTTGGGAAGAAATTAGTCTGAAAGCTGGGATTGGTGGCTTATGGGTATAAAGAACCTAGTGTAGCAGGAAGGCTTGGGTTCTGGATGGGATATTTCACTTGGATTCTCCCCACCCAAGCCCTCTTCCCAGGTCTAGTCATTAACATCTCCCAACTCCTAATGGCCCTTTGGGGCAGTTACTAACTTTCAGAATATCAGGAAAGAGATGAATGAGGAGATGGCACGTCAGGAGGTTCAGCTGAAAGCTGACATGTTCAAGCGGCAGATCATCCAGAGGTCTGCTTCTCCCTTTTCAACCCCAACTTTCCTTCTCAAGGGTTTCCTGAGCTCATTTCTTATTTCTGCTCCTTGACCCCACTTTTCCCTTTGTGACAGAAGATTTGCCCCCAAGGATAAGAATTCTCTAGCTCTAGAACACTGCCTGATTCTTCATCCACTGTGGGGAGTCCTCCATTTTTTTTCACCCCTTGACTACAATTTGTTCTCCCCAGTTAGTTTTCTTCACTTTCTGATATGAGCTCTTTTTTTCTTACCACACTTTTGCTTGAATATAACTGTATTCGCTCATTTTTTTTTTTTTTTAATTTGCTTTGCAGGAGAAAAAACGTGTCACAGGAGGCACTGAGGTCAAGCCATAGCAAAATAGATGACAGGTTAGGAGTATGTACGTGAACTGGAATAGAAACACATGAAGGAGGAGAGGGTGAAACACTAAAGATGAAGATTGGCTTTGAGAGAGAATTCATTCATTTAATAACTGCATATTGTAGTAGGTTGACTAGTGGCACCCAAAATAATATGTCCATGTCCTTACTCCCTGGAACCTGTGAATGTGACCTTATTTGGAAAAAAAAGATCCTAAGTTAAGGATAATCCTAAGGATAATCTAGAATGAGATCATCCTAGCTTATCCAGGTAGGTCCCAAATCCATTGGCAAGGATACTTATAAGAGATGAAAGAGGAGAAGACACAGAGAATAGGAGAAGGCTATGTGAAGATGGAAATAGAGGTTGGGGCTAATGCCGCCACAAGCCAAGGAAAGCTGAGGAATGCCAGGCAGCTGCCAGAAGGTAGAAGACGCAAGGAACTTCTCCCCCAAAGCCTCCAGAGGGAGTATGGCCCTGTCAACTTCATTTCAGACTCTGGCCTCTAGAATTGTGAGGGAATATATTTCTGTCATTTTAAGCTACCAAGTTTATAGTAATTTGTTATGGCTGCCACAGGACACTAATACACATACCTTCAATGAAACAGATATGATTCTAGACCCTAAGCGTTTAGCAGTGGACAAAGAGAGCAGAAGCAAAAATGAACTCATTCACTCACTAACAAATAATTACTGGCTAGATGTGGTGGCTTATACTTGTAATCCCAACACTGTGAGAGGCCAAGGCAAGAGGATTGCTTGAAGTTCAAGCCAGAAGTTCAAGGCTGCATTGAGACATGATTGCACCACTGTAGTCCAGCGTGGGCAACAGAGCAAGATCCCATCTCAAAAATTTAGCAGGGTGGGCACAGTGGCTCATGCCTTTAATACCAGCATTTTGGAAAACTGAGGTGGGTAGATCACTTGAGCTCAGGAGTTCAAGACTAACCTAGGCAATGTGGCAAAATTCTGCCTCTGCAAACAAAAATCAGCTGGATGTGGTGTTGTGCTCTTGTGGTCCCAGCTACTTAGGAGGCTGAGGTGGGAGGATCACTTGAGCCTGGGAGGCTGAGGCTGTGGTGAGCCGTGATTGTGCCACTGCTCTGCAGCCTGGGTGACAGAGCAAGACCCTGTCTCAAAAAAACAAACAAAAAACAAGAAAGAACAAATAATTATTGAATACTTAGTAGGTGCTTGGGATGTATCAATGAACAAAATAGACAATAATGCCTGCTTCATGAAACTTACATATTAGTAGTGGCAAAGAGATAATAAGCAGTGAACATATTAAATAGATTAATATGTTAAAATATGATAAGCATTAAGGGAAAATTAAAAGTAGAATAGGTTAAGGGAGATTGGGAGTAGAAAGTGGGATTGCAGATGTGTTGTAGTGTTTTTGTTTGTTTTGTTTTGAGACAGAGTCTTGCTCTGTTGCTAGGCTGGAGTGCAGTGGCATGATCTTGGCTCAGTGCAACCTTCACTTCCGAGGTGCAAGCGATTCTTCTGCCTCAGCCTCCCAAATAGCTGGGACTACAGGTGCATGCCACCATGCCAGGCTAATTTTTCTTTTTTCTTTTTTGTATTTTAATAGAGACGAGGTTTCACCATGTTGCTCAGGCTGGTCTTAAACTCCTGAGCTCAGGCACTCCATCCGCCTCAGCCTCCCAAAGTGTTAGGATTACAGGCGTGAGCCCCCGTGCCCAGTCACAGATGGGTTATAGTTTTAAACAGGGTAGTCAGGGTGACCTCATTGAAAAGGTAATATGAGCAAAGACTTGAAGGAGGTAAGGGGATCACCATGTGGGTATCTATAAGAAGAGTGTTAATAGGCAGATGAAACAGCTAGTGCAAAGGTCCTAAGCTGGAAGCATGCTTGGTGTGTTTGAGAAACAGCAAGGAGGCCATTGTGAATGGAGTAGAGTGAGCAGGGGGAAGAGTGCTGGGAAATGAAGTCAGAGAGATAATGGTGACATGATCCTGTAGGGTTAGGGGTGCCATTGTAGGGACTTTGAAATGGAAAGCAGAACAGAGGAGTGACATGAGGTGACTTACATTTAAGAAGGATTACTCTGGTTACTGTGTTGGTAGAAGAACAAGGGAAGGAGCAGAGAGATCAGTTGGGAGGCTATGCTGCTGCCTAGGCAAGAAATGATGACAGCTTAGGCCAGAGTGGTAGCAGTGAGTTAGTGAGAAAAGATTTATTTCGAAGGTAGAGTCAGCAGGATTTCTTGATGGACTGGATATGGTAAGGAAGAGAAGAGTTAAGGATGACACATGAATGATTGAGTTTGGAAGTGCCTGAGTTTAGAGTTTGGGAGTAGTTTGGCCCTCATTGTCTTATGCCCCAGCTTTAGGGGGTGGCTAGGGCCAGAACCAGAATAATGAGTGGACTAGTCATGTCTTGTAAATGTTTCTGAAGCCATAAATTTCTCCTTTCAGTTCAAGAGGAGCTGGTCAACAAAGGGAAAGTTTGGACTTATCAGAAGTGTCTGAAGTAGAGTCTAATTATGGTGCCACTGAAGAGGATTTAAAAACATCTGCATCGGGCCGGGCGCGGTGGCTCAAGCCTGTAATCCCAGCACTTTGGGAGGCCGAGGCGGGTGGATCACGAGGTCAGGAGATCGAGACCATCCTGGCTAACATGGTGAAACCCCGTCTCTACTAAAAATACAAAAAACTAGCCGGGCGTGGTGGCAGGCGCCTGTAGTCCCAGCTACTCGGAGGCTGAGGCAGGAGAATGGCGTGAACCTGGGAGGCGGAGCTTGCAGTGAGCCGAGATCGCGCCACTGCACTCCAGCCTGGGTGACACAGCGCGAGACTCCGTCTCAAAAAAAAAAAATAAAATAAAATAAAAAAATAAAAACATCTGCATCAAAAACAGAAGAGACCTTGTCAAAAAAGAGAGAGTACCAGTCTTCCTCCTCTGTCTCTTCCACATTCTCTTCCTATTCTTCCTCTTCCGAATCCAGATTTTCTGAATCTATTCCTGAGCCAAAGAACTATAATAATGAGTTTTTTCCATTTGAATTCAGACTCCTTTATAAGACATCTAAGTCTTAACAGGAGCTCTCCTACTGTATCTCCTTTCCAATTTTCTGGTCTTAATTTCTTTTTGCTTCTTAATTTCCCCTGTCCTCCTTCTTCACTTTGGGTAAGTGTGGCTATGGCCCTCTTTGCTCACTGTAAAAAGTGATTTCTTGCTGATGCACCCTTTCCCTCCTTGCTTCCTGTTACTTCTTCCCACCCCACCTTTCCACCCACACCATAGGATTTACCAGCTCTTACCCAACTTTTACAAACCTAGCCATGCTTTTCTGAAACATTCCTCCCGACAGGTCATTTGGACTGGGAGACTCTTGTGCATGAAAATCTGCCTGGGCTAATGCAAATGGATCAGGATGACCATGTTTGGCCCAGAGACTCACTCTTCTGACATTTTAAGTTGCTAGAAAATCTTCAGTATAACCTAGAGGAGCGTAAGAAGTTACAAGAGTTTGCAGGTATGGAGTTAAAGGTAGTCATGGGGACCATGGGAATATATATATAGCATTTATAACTGTGGAGGAGGAGGAGGGTGTCCACTATTCTGGCATCCCAGCTTCTAAATTTCTGCCTACACCTAAAATAGGCAAATTCTTGGTTTGGTATGTCACATTCTGGGCATGTGTCCCACTTTTCCCTAACTGAGAGAGAACCTAGAAACTCTGCTTCTGTAGCACGGGACGCCCAAATCCTATGAGGTATGAGAGCTTATTTCCCAAGAAGAGAAAGTCTAATCCCAGTTGTTGGGAATTAGGACAAGGTAGGCTCTTGCTTGATTTGGGCAGCCCACCGGTTTCTGCACGTTTGTTCTCTCTGAAGATTGCATTTCAGACTTGAGCAGCAGGGCCTAAGGCTCAATCTGGAGAGCTATGGGGGATCAGACAATGAGCAGGAGGCCCACAAGTGCTCACTGTCCTAACTCCCTAAAGAGGTTTATGAATTCTAAACTTCTGTTTGTATCTGCCCCTTTTAGTGTCAGCCTCTATAAAGACAAATATGTGATTGAAATAGTACAGTCTGATGTAAACTGAGAACTATTCAGTTATTTTTCCTAAATTTCATGACTCTATGACTAATTTGAATTAATAAAATTTCCCTCTAAAAGTTAAAAAAAAAAAGGCTGGGCATGGTGGCTCACTCCTGTAATCCCAGCACTTTGGGAGGCGGAGGCAGAAAGATCACGAGGTCAGGAGATCAAGATCATCCTGGCCAACATGGTGAGACCCCATCTCTACTAAAATACAAAAAATCAGCCAGGCGTTGTGGCGCATGCCTGTAGTTCCAGCTACTCCGGAGGCTGAGGCAGGAGAATTGCTTGAACCTGGGAGGCAGAGGTTGCAGTGAGCGGAGATCACGCCACTGAACTCCAGCCTGGCAACAGAACGACACTCCATCTCAAAACAAAGCTAAAACAGAAGAGTTAGGGGCGGATTTTTATAATTTAATGTGTGTTATCTGGGTTTTTCCCCTCATACCTAGTTGAAATCAACTCAGTGTGAAAATAAGAAATTAGAGAGGAGGACTGTGTGTTTGTGTGTGGTGGGCACAGGTGGGCAATGAGGAATTTATAACATTGGAACACGGAATTTAGGGCAAGATGTGAAAGACAGCCTTTGCTTACTTCAAAATGTTGCCTAAATTTAATCCTGTTCCTGCTAGTCATTCTTAGCCCTGCCTTCCCACTTATTCTCTAGGGAGGACAGGGTGAAAAGGAGGAAAATGCAGCAAGGTGGTTTCTTTAATCCTGATAAACTTGTCTATGGCAAAGAGTACACAGAATCATAAAGCTTAATTTAAAGATTAGTAAAGACTTGTGGGAACCTAGAACCCAGAAAAGCAATGTCTTCACCAAACATTTATATATGTAGAATATTCTTAGTTCTCCAGCCTGACAATCTGTTTCCTTTGCAGTGCAGGCACTGATGAACTTGGAAGACAAGTAAATCAATGGATGGCTTCAATATCCTTGAGCCCAGCAAAAGATAATAAAGGGAACTGTTGGAAATAGAGAATTGAAAATATAAACATTCAGATAGAACAATGTCTGTTCATTAAAATTAAAAAGTATAAGTTTCTAGGCCAAGTGGTGGCTCACGCCTGTGATCCCAGCACTTTGGGATGCTGAGGTGGATGGATCACCTGAGGTCAGGAGTTCAAGACCAGCCTGGCCGAAATGGTGAAACACTGTCCCTACTAAAAAATAAAGTTAAAAAAAAATTTTAGCTGGATGTGGTGGCAGATGCTTGTAATCTCAGCTACTCGGGAACCTGAGGCAGGAGAATCACTTGAAGCTGGGAGGCAGAGGTTGCAGTGAGCCAAAATCGCGCCACTGCGCTCCACCCTGGGCAACAGAGTGAGACTCCGTCTCAAAAAAAAAAGTGTGTAGGTGTCTAATAGATATTCCTAGTAGCTTCTCAGTAGTCTGTCTGTGAAATAAGGGATATTGAAAGGCATAAGGTCGAGAAAAAGAGTTAGTTCAAGCTGAGTGTGGTGATGCGTGCCTCTAGTCCCAGCTATGAACTGAGGCAGGATTGTTTGAGTCTGGGAGTTCGAGGCTGCAGCAAGTTAGGATCATACCACTGCATTCCAGCCTGGGCAACACAGCAAGACCCTGTCTCTAAAAAAGAACAAGTTAGCTCAGATGCCAGTGGAGACTGTGCTCCTTAGCTTTCTACCCTTTCCACGGCTCCTGAATCCGATTCATTTCTTGACTTTATCATTATAGCTTCCACCCTTCCTGCAACCTCTACTGCCTGATTATGGTCCTAAATTTACCTTCTCCCTCCCTGATGCATAGGTAAAGGCCTCTCTGTGGAGTAAGGAGATCTTCAGAGCTGTTAGTTTAACTAATTGAGAAGTGTTGCTTCCATTGCCTGTTTTACTCATGTTGCTTCTCTTGTGAACCATTAATTTTAATTGGATATTATTTTTACCTGTTACTGGACCAAAAGTCTCTATTTCATTTTGCCATTGCTCAGGGCAGTGTTCAAATCAGTAAGTGTTGCACAGGTTTTTAGTGTTAGAAGGGATTTCAGAGTTAATCTGTCTCCCATCAAAGTAGGAACACCTTTTAGAACATCACTGAAAGGAGGATTATCCAGGTAATGCTTAATGTTTCTAGTTATTTGGTATTCATTATGTAGAAGGGATCCCATTCCATTGTTAGAAGACTTAAGTCTTTAGACATGTTTATGATTAAAAATTACATCACTTATTGAGTGTTTAACATGTATGAGGATATTTATATATTTAGTATATATATACTGTATATAGAGTATGTATATTTCATAGAATAATCTTATATGGAAGATAGCCTCCTATTTTTAGAGATCAGAAAACTAAGGCCTAAAGAAATTAAGTAAGTCAAGTAACTTGCCCAAGAGCATATACCAAGTAAGAGGTAGAGCTAAGGTTCTAACTCAGGTTAAAAATTCTGAGTTGAGAAAAAAATCAGTTGAAGCCATTTAAACAACAAAATAGCTTACTGGAGACTGGGAAGTTCAAAGGTAGTATAGCTTCAGGATTGATTTAATGTAAAAATTCACTGTTGTTAGATCTGTGGTTTTGTTTCTCTGGAATTTTGCTATCTGCGCTCTCCTCCACGTGTTCTTGTTATTCTCAGACTGGCTTCACTTGGGTAGCCAGATAATTTTCTGAAGCACCTAGGCTTGCATACCTATTTACCCATATCCAGCGGAAGAGAGCCAGTGACTCTTTTCTCAGTCAATGAACAAAATGTTTGAGCTTTGGGTCACAATCATGGTTATTCTTGGAGTGAAGATACTGATGGGGAGGAAGCATGAAGCCTCTGGAGTGCTGTAGATATGTTCCATATCTTGATCTGCATGGT